TAGCGTTCTTGAACTTGTGATAACTGCCTGAAACTCAAGCCTTAACCAAGTCCCTTCAATATTCATGAGAAGGATCGCAAACACGGGCCTGAGTCTTAAAAAAACGTGGCTTCTTAATTAATGAGCCTGCCAAACACGCGCCAAAACAAGGCCAGCAAACAACCGCTGCGCGAGGCTCCTATCGTGAGAGTTTTTTTTACAGCATCTTTTCCTTCATGCAACACCTACCAATGCTGTCGGAAATTTTTTCTTTATATCCTCCGAAAATCTTCATATTGACAGCATCTTTTTTTTCATACAACCCATGCCGATGTTGTCTGAAATTTCTTCTTTATATCTTCTAAAAAGCTTCATTGACAGCAACTTTTCAGTCGTACAACACCTGACGATGTTGATTGAAATTTACTTAGCTGTTAATCAGTTTTATTTTATTCAATAGCAATAAATGAGATTTGTCGTCTAAATAAAATAAATTATAAGCTTCTCGTGATACATATAAAAGGTTTGGTTTTGCCGTAATAATCAAAGCTAATTTTTATCTTCTTAAATACATTTTTTTCGTTTGCATTTCGATTCAACGCAAACCTTTTAGCCCGAGCATTTTTGGCTGCAAATGCTACTAATTGGACTAAGTTGTCACTCAACAATAGGTTCTGAAAGAAATCTCATTCAAGCGACGAATTTTAAAACTGTTCCATCACTGTTTTTTTCAAAATGACATCCACCTGTGTATTCGAACTAATTAAGCTTCCTTCCGAAGAGGAGGCATTTTAATAAAGGATACTTGAATGGCTTCTAGTAGATGAAATAGTGTTTAGTCGAGTTGTAAAATTTGATAGTAACTCGTTTTGAAGTGACTTTCAGCACAGACATTATATCATTAATGGTCAAACTACCACATATATAAAAAAATCTTTCGGAAAAATCAATGTAAAATAAAGACTGGCCTACCATGAGCAATGAAGAAAATTTTATGATAGTCAAAAAGTATTCGTAATCAACAAATCCCGAGGAACAAATTTTACCGAGAAATACAATCAAATGAATGTGGAAAGCTATCGCGCAATTACTCTGCCCTATGACTATCTGTAGCTTGCATGTTCAGCGAGTACAGATTCTTTGAAAAGCGAGTGTATGATATCTATAACGTCAACTTGGTTGTTAAATTTTACATGTTAAACGCAGTTTTTCATTTCATTTATGAGGGCAAACGCGAAAAAATAAACTTAAAAATAGTTAGTTTCAGGAACGTCCTCGATTTGCATTTTAATTACAGCTATGAAACTGGACTGCAAGCTATTCATTCGACGAATCCAATTAAGAGCGCTGGTGAGGAAGAGTCTGTTAATTACTTCGCTCAGTTTATTCGCAATAAACTTCCAAAAGGTGCGACTTCAAAAGCTAGAAATATCTAAACGAATAGGAAAAAGTGTTGCTTATGAGACTTTGAATTACATTTCCCCATAATATCTGAATGTATATTCTTTTCATGCAATAGAATAAGGACTCCAATTACATATAATGTAACTGTTTAGTTTTTTATCTCTTATCACCAAACATTTCATATCTCTTAACCTCTGAATATACGAGTGTTCTTATCTCTTGCAACATTGACACTACGAGTGTTTAAATTCTTAACGCTGCAAACAGTGGCTGAAATCTCTTACCGCTGATAATACGGAGCTGCTATCTATTAACGCTGATTGGGTGTACGTACGTACTTATCTCTAAGAATTGGCATTACGGGGTTCTTATCCTGATAATACGTTGCTGTAATCGCTCATCGCTCTTAACAGGACAGCTCATATCTCTTAACATTGCTAATATGTATGTACATATCTCCAAACGCTGATTATTAGGGTCTTCTATCTCTTAACCCTGATTATAAGCACGTTCCTATCTCTTAACGCTAATGATCTCTTGACGCAGCGAATATGAGTGTTCATAACTTTTTACGTTATGGATATGAGTACTTTTTTCAACTGGCAGTGAAGTTGCAATCAAGAGTGCTATATGAATACTCCTAAACCATTGCTATAGTAGGAGCGCACAGTTTTTGGTTATTTTTCTTCGGCGAATTGATTCCTGATCAATCAACAGCGAGCAAGCGCTTGTGTATATCATATCTACCAGTGTAGCGTGTTTACTTCTGCCTCTACTATCGGTGACGTTAGAGTGTTCTCCAGCCCTTTCACAACTTTATTAGTCTTCAGCCCTTTCACTCCTTTATTAGTCACCAGCCCTTTCACTCCTTTAGTAGTCTCCAGCCCTTTCACTCCTTTATTAGTCTCCAGCCCTTTCACTCCTTTATTAGTCTCCAGCCCTTTCACTCCTTTATTAGTCACCAGCCCTTTCAGCCCTTTCATTTCTTTATTAGTCTCCTGCCCTTTCACTCCTTTAGTAGTCTTCAGTCTTTTTACTCATTTATTAGTCTCCAGCCCTTTCACTCCTTTATTAGTCTCCAGCGCTTCCACTCCTCTATTAGTGAAGTGAAAGTATTATCGAGCTCTTGCGAGTCTGGCACGAAGAGCGGACTGCAAGAAAATGAGTGCAAAATAGAAAAAATTTGTACAAAGTTGGAATTCAAGCCAGCATAATAAATAATCTAACATGCTTTGCTCAGAACAAGGATGCAAAGTGCTGTGTAAATATTTAACATTACGAGATTTTTGTTTTGGAAACATAACCTGCCATGAGCTTTTAGCTCCGGAAGCCTCATTCAAAAGTCGGATTTCTGTGATGAAAAGTTTGCCTAGTTATATTTTAACATTTCGAAATATGTTTTTAGCAGTGAAATTATCGGACATTGACGTTAGGAATGTTTTTTTCAGTAATGGCTCCTTCAAAATTCGTTGATTTAATTATCGTGTCATTATTTGATTGAACATTTATTTAAACCATTGAACATTGAACATATCGTGTCATTAAACATTTATTTGAACCAAACTTCTCACGGATCACAGTATTCGCTCAGCTCGGCAGACATACCATCAATGCTGATAACGTCGCCTCAGCACCTAAAAAAAACACATCTTTTCAGCACAGTCAAACAGCTTCCTAGTCATCATGTGGTTATCGAACCATATAAATCGTAGTTCTGACAAGGATTGTACGGTTTTTAGTGACGAGCTGCGAGGTAAATTCGGTATCTGATGTGTGGGGACTTACTGTATGTGGCACTGATTGTGGTTCATTGTGAGCAGAAAATCTACGGTAGAAGCTCCTAATATTTTATTAACTTTTTCCATTAGTCGTGTTCTCGTCAATTTTTTAACCAACAATTTTTATTGTAATCGACTTAGATCACATATTCACCTGATGTTTAAAAGTAAAGAAAATACAAAGCTGATCCGTCACATTTTTATTGAAGATCGGAACATCGAAGATGAAGATTTTTCTATACGTGAAAAATTCAGACGAAGAATTTACTATTCGTTGTCTTTCTTGGCTTCTAACGGGTACCAATTAACTACAGTTGTATTTCACGCACTTTCCGTACAATATTAGCTAGTGATATGATTTCATATCTTTTAAAATTCAGGCCTACTAGTCGTTTTCCTACATCCATTATAAATTTCGATCTGCATATGCTAAAAATTGTGTGCATTTTCATAACATTCTTCTATGCAAAAGATAGGAATTATCAACATTTTTATGACTATAGTGAAGCATAATAACATTCCGCTTACATTTAGCAACCAACAGCATCTGTGATCGACAAAAACAGAGTTGAGCAGCAGCGCCTGAAAAGTACTGAAATAAAAGTAGCCATGCAGAGGCAGGGATGCGAGCTATCATAATCCAGAGCGCAATAGCCGCTTAATGAGCAAATGACGCGTAGCTTATGTCATCAGCCCTGCTGCTGCTGCTGGTGCTGCTACTGATGCTGCTGCTGCTGCTGCTGCTGCTGCAGGTGCTGCTACTGCTGCTGGTGCTGCTACTGATGCTGCTGCTGCTGCTGCTGCTACTGCTGTTACTGCTGTTACTGCTGCTACTGATGTTGCTACTGCTGTTACTGCTGTTACTGCTGCTACTGATGTTGCTACTGCTGCTACTGCTGCTGCTGCTGCTGCTACTGCTGTTACTGCTGTTACTGCTGCTACTGATGTTGCTACTGCTGCTACTGCTACTGCTGCTACTGCCGCTGCTGTAACCTTGTTGTAGTCTAGGTGATAGAGGCTTCGACGCGGTAATAAGAGAAATGAATACAACTTTGTCCAAATTAATTGTGATTGTGGATCATCCTGACCCAGTTTCTACCGATCAAAGGACGCATCAGTGCGATGCCCGCTCTATGCTCGAGTTGAGTTAACAAAGTCTATCACTGTTAGGACATTAAGAACTAATCATGTTTTTAGTGTAACACGCCATGCCTGCTTAAAACCTAACCTGTGTCAAATTATTCCATGCTGTTACACAGTGTCTGCAGCTTTAAATTAACTAAAAATAAAATATATTTTATCGAACGATAAACCTCAGTAGTTGAAGACCCCATTCACTCCAAACCTTTTCCGTGTTTTGAAAAATTGCAAGTGCCCACTGGCTAAAATAAGGTCAGGGGCGGGAAATGAAGCTCCACAATTCAATTACCCTATCAGATTACAAATTAATCAGCTGGCGGAAATATTCTTGATCATTTTGAGGTCATGAAATGTCCGGCGTTAAATTGCGTAACTGCATCCGCGGGAGCGGCGACTGGCCAGGAAGATCGCGCCGTGACCAAGGTTGCCAGGTGGGCCGTATTCCGGCCAAATCTGAAAAACAGGGCCTTTTACCAATTGCGCGGACCAGGAAAAATCCATGAAAACTGCAAACGTATTACAGTTTTTAAATGCATAATAACAAACGAAAAATGCATTATTAAACCTGAAATTACGAATTTATTAATATAACTGAATTTTTGCCTGTTTTGGGAGCCGTTTCATTGTGCCACTATTTGGTAACTCTGGCCCGCTGTCCTAGTCCTACGACTGTCAGTTGCTCGCCAGCTGCGCCGTGGGTAGGTGTGTCGCTCTGAGCTCCGCTGAGATACTCTCGCCCGCTGCGCTTCGCAGACTCGAGCTCTACGCTGTAACGACTGGATGAGCGCTCCCGTGGCCCCAATAATCAGAGTGGTAAGTGCTCTTTTGATGTTTATATTTAAGAGAAAGCAAAAAAAAATAATAGTGATATGCAAATTTAACAGAATCATTGTGAAAAGAGATTAATTTTAAATTTATTCTCCATGCATTGAAAGAGCATGACGAATTAATTTTTTGCATTATTATTTCATTTGTATTCATATAAAGTGTATGGTTTCGTTTTTTCCAACCTACTATTTCGTCAGTTTTCCTTGTTTTTCTTTATGAACTTTAGTTAGATAGCAGAAATTGATGGTTTATACTAGTCTGATTAATGACCAAAGTATGCACTTTATTAAAACAATTTTCAGGGAGTCGAAATATTTTTTTCAGATGACGTAAGTCTGAACAGGTTTCAGAAAGTTATTTTTTTAGTACATAAATAACGCTTTAAATGCCAACTAAATTCATTTTATTGTTACAAGATACATTTAATAATGAAACGTTGGTGGACATAAGACGCGTAAATAAGATAGAACTCATAAATTGCAACCACTAAATTACTGGAAAAAATTAAAAGGATCTGAGAAATTCTGTAGTTAGGAGATTGATAACTCGAGTACAATCCTTAGAGATGAGGACATCAGATATCGGCAGTCGGAAGACCTTTATTTTTTCTTTATTTATAATTATTTATACTTTCATTCTGGCTTAAAAAAATAAGGTTGCTCTATTATTAAAATTATTATCATAGAAACAATATAAAAATATTTTGTCAGAGTTTCTCTTATAAATACTTGATGTTGAATTTCCTTCAAATATTCATTGTGTTGCTTATTACTTAACATCAGTCACCATATATTAACCGCCGACAAATTTATTGAAGTAATTTTATCAGGTATACGAGCTTTATACTTCATGTGCATATTCTCCGTCTATTCCACAGCAAATGTTTGTGACATCAATAATTGCAGCCACCATTTAACGCATAATATGTTTCAGTTTTCGGCCATCGATTTATAATTTTATCATGCGAATGCAGCCCAATCTTTTGGGATCGAGTCAGCACTAATAATTCAGTATGATGCACGAGGTAAAATACTTAAAATTTAAGGACTTTTTTTAAATTTTACTCATGTAATGTCCGCTGTGGTTCTATAACTTGAACACAACTGTTCCCGTTCATCAGAGACCAGTATTACTTGCTCAGGAAAACTTCGGAAAAGTTCGTCAAGACTGTAGACCCTTTCTCTGGTCTGTATTACGGCAAATACGTCGTTCTCTGCAGACATTCACTTCTCTGGTTTGTAGTATGACAAAGCCCTCATTCTCTGCAGAAATTCACTTCTCCTGTAGTATGACAAAGCCATCATTCTCTGCAGACATTCACTTCCTTCTCCGGTCTGTAGTATGACAAAGTCGTCGTTCTCTGCAGACATTCACTTCTCCGGTCTGTAGTATGACAAAGCCCTCGTTCTCTGCAGACATTCACTTCTCTGGTCTGTAGTTCGACAAAGCCCTCATTCTCTGCAGACATCTACTCAGTTTTAAAATGAACATCAAAACAAAATGATTCATATATTTTTTGAGGGTGCAGCACGAGCAGAGAGCAGACGTAGCTCTGACACGCCCATGTAAAGGGTAAACTTGCTCTGGGTGATCCTCACAAGAGCAAAAAGCGCAATGAAATTCGGGAATATTCCCACTTATTTTGTTTTTAGTTCAGAACAGTATAAATAGATAGATAATCCCTCAACTGTGGTAATCACACTCCTTATAATTCCATTTATTTTAAACCTTTTTACATGTATCTCGTTGCCTCTAATCCACCTATACTAATTCACCATATAATTTAGCGTGTTGATTGATGGTAATTAAAGAAATACTAGTTATTATTAAAAAGCAAGAAAATAAATATTATATCATTTATTTAAAAGTAAGCAAAAAGTGTAAATGAGTGGATGTATTTGATTAGTGGTTCCATTATCTTGTTTTAATTTTATTGAAAACAATATAAGCCACATGCCACGCAGATGATTAATCCTCGCCCCTCGTGTTCCAATTGTTATTCGCAACTGCAAACCAAGGACAAAACCAATGTTTTTCACTCTCTGCCCACAATGCTCAATTCTTCGTAAATATATAGTGCCCTTTTTACTGTTATTCGTACCAAGAAGACAAAAGCAAAGCCAATGCCATGCACTTTCTGCCCATCCATGATCAATTGTTCGACCCGCGTGCCCCGGTACCCATTGTTATTCGTACCAGGAAACCAAAAATTAGGCCATTTGCATGCACGCCTCAGCGCCGCGACGTCTCATGAATCGTCTTGGCTTATCACACCCCAAGCTGCCTCGTAAGTCTCATGGCGAACTTGAGCTGTCGTTCCCTTCGCATTATGGCGGCTTCTAAAGGATATTTCACACATATCTTTCCTGAGGGTATTTTTGGGCGGATATTTCAGACGAGACGCTGATCGGAGTTTCTATTACAGCTTCCCTTAGCGCCAAATTTCCTTGGTGGATCATTGAACCGGAGATCATTTTACCGTGTAAAACTTACGTAGCGTGAGTCGCAGTAATGTTTCCTCGAGCTCCCATAAAGAAGGCTGCGGAGATGGAATTTCATACTAATTACGTGGAAAAAAATGAATGATTCTATAAAAAATCATTTATATTTCGTTTATGTCGGATAATTCATGACATCGATAACATTATGGTTACCAGTGAGTTTCACACTCTAGGAGTTTGACGATTTTATCTGATTGATTTCCTTCTATATTTCTGGTTACTAATTTTTTACCAAGCTACATCAGTAAACCTGTAAGAAATAGAAGTTAGGGAAGATGAGTGCTTCGTTAGGTTCATTGTCCAAACATGCCGATTGGTAGGAGCAGAAACGGCCTTTGTAAGTCCGATTTTATTTCAGGTTCCGTTTGAGCTTAGTAGAGCAATTGCATCTCCGGTAGTTATTTTTTTCATTGAATAGCACAGGTAGACAAAGCAGCGAAAAATAGAAAGAAAAACCACCGATGATATCAAAATAAATTAAATTTCCATTAAGTTTAGGGTAAGGGACAGGGACAGCACAAAATCGTAACACAGAACGTGCTTTATGCCGCAGTCCCAAGGGATAGAATTAGCGCTGCTCTCAGCAGCACTGCTTCCTGGCCTACGCCTGTCTCTTATACACATCTAGANCATTAGTCAAGGCTTACACTCATGCCTCAATGTTAGTCAAGGCTTACACTCATGCCTCAATGTTAGTCAAGGCTTACATTTACACTCATGCCTCAACATTAGTCAAGGCTTACACCCATGCCTCAATATTAGTCAAGGCTTACACTCTTGCCTAAATGTTAGTCAAGGCTTACACTCATGCCCCGGGGAGTGCAGTGAGCTGACTACTTGTCTTAGTGAGTGCAAGACAACTAGGCTTTTATAACGCTAAATGTCAGCAAATAACGGTAACAAACACCTTGGAAATGTATATATGTAGGTAAAACCATAGAACTCGTTCTGAGAGCAGTTGCAGAGGGAGGAAAAATTGTCGATTTAAATTTAACAAATAATGCCAATTAATATAAAACAGGTTTAGTGCTTCAGTGAAAGCTAGTAGACTGAAAACATGGATGAGATGTCAAAAATGTGAAAGTCAGCTAAAAAATTATTAATATGCTCAATTAAAAAGTGGTATTGTTGCCACAGTGTGGCGTCAATTCACCTGCAATATGATCTCGTTGACTAGGTACTGCGGTGTTATTAAGATCTGAGAGCTAGTGCTGTTCATGTTTTAGGGAATTTTGACGTCAACCTGGAAATTTTGATATGAGAAAAGTAATGGTCTTTGATGTAGGTCCTTGAAGAATCGTTAAGGGCATGAGGATCCTTACACGCAATGGTTCCTCCCTTGTTCCTTATTAGATTGCTTCTTATAATCTTTTAAGCGCAATTTTGAATCTATTTTCCATGTATTTTCGCAAAATACAAAGACTTACGATGCGCTTTTTCAGTCCACGTTAATAGCTTTGTTAACCTCAATGTTAATGGCTGTTAATTCTTGTTGAACAATTCCTGAAGCTCCCAATTCTTTAGTGACTCCGTTTGTGTTTACTTCTTGTGCTCGTCTTAGCGAAGCCTGTGTGTCATCGAGAGTCTTAGCGAGCCTTGCGTTGCAACGAGAGTCTTAGCGAGCCATGTGATGCGACGAGATAGTTAAATACTGGTATGAAAGTCCTTAGAGTTCTGTGCCAAATTCCTTCCATGGGCTCGAGTTTCAGGCCTCAGTGATCCGAACAGGTCGAAATCGACTTCACTCCGTAGGTTCAACCATCGCAGAAACCAATATATAATTTTGTACAATATTTATTAGTTTTGTTTTTATTATTGTGCAGGCTTTGGATGCTTGATATTAAGTAATTAATCAATCCAAGTTGGTTTTATAGCGTTTGTTTGCTTAATGTCATGATATCTCATTTAATATATTCAGGTATAGACCTGCTGGAAATGTCGCAAGGCAGAGTAGGAAAAATATTCAATATTGTTTCACTGAGTACTGAAGGTCGAATGGTTGAAAAATTATTTGAGATCGTCGAGTATACTTAAAAGCAAGCAAATGGATACTTTTTGCTCCTGGATTTGAGGATTCGACGGATGCACTGAATCGCTGATGTTTATTTGTAAGTGCAATTGGAGAAATTTATATAAGTACTAATTTCTATAAGTACTTCTATATATATATCAGTACTTATAATTACTTCCTGTACGTATTTTTATTCTTGTGAGATAGTAAAATAAAGACATAAAACTTTTTCTCACGTTCTCAACTTTCAAACTCAATTTGATCTAAGAGAGCTTCATTTATTTGTAAACTTCTTTACTCGACCAATGTTGAAGCCTCCGCGTCCAATTAAGGCGCTAAACCATTTAGAATTACACGCCGCTGCGGAGACTTAGAACTACTCAAGTGTAGATAGCTCCTTGAACTGAGGGAATCAGTATTTACCGTAGACTTGAGCTCATAAACTCAGACTCAAAATTTTATCATCAGAATTT